CACCTCGCCTGGGCCAAGGCCACGCCAGCTCCCCTCGCAGCCGGGCAACTGGATGCTCCGGGATGGTTCGGCTTACCATCGTAAACTTGGGGGTGCTTATCTATGATTTACAGCCGTCCACAGCCCGAGATGATGAAGAGCGTAGCCTTTTGTTTTGAAGATCTGAGTGGTGATCAGACAGCAGAACTTGCCGGAAGAAGGCCCCAAACAGTGCTTGTGCAGCAATTAGTGGGACGGGCTGGAATCTGGAGCGATCTGGATTATTCTCCAGAAAGCTCTTCATAACAACGTGCATTTAAAGTTCCGCTTTTTCACGCGTGGGGGAGGAATAATACGGGAGTGAGAAAATGTATAATAATATGTCATTCACTGCTTGGGGATATACTATTTACTAACCCACAGTTATTTACCATAAAATATCAATATTCAGAATGTTTTACAACCTACTTGCAATAAATTGGGAATTTGCATATTAACTTTTGGAGCAGAAATATCGTTATTAATTATTCTCATTATGGAACCTGGAACCAATTATATTAAAATTACAGTCACAAATGTATGCGTAATTGCAGTCGACACCATTATGCTTTCAGATGCAAATACTAAATCAACATTACGACGGCATCAAGGAAGCCTATAACTAAAAATTAAAAACGAAAAAATTAATGATGGATGTACGATATCAAACTCGTAAACACGTTAAGGAATCCACTTTTCTGTCTACAAAGACAACATTTTATCGACCACACAAACCTCCGGTTTTAATGTAAATCCCCTCGGGAGAGTGTGGTTCCAGGTGTTGGGGGGGCAGGGGCAGGGCAAGCGTGTCAAAGGTCACGACCCGGGCGCCTGCTCAGCACTCGCGTGGCCCCACTGTCCGCGGCTCCTGTGGCGAGCGAGCGTTATCCCACGTCACTAGCCCTCAGGTCCTCGCCTGTAACAGTGAAATGATGCTGAAGGCGATGCTGAAGAGGACGTAGCGCGATGCTTCCCCGTGCTCAGCACCATGCCCGCCACAGAGCGACGAGGCTCCCGCAGCAGCAAAGACCGCAGCAGCTAACGTTGTTTACGCCCTCACCGCCTGCTCGCCGTGGCCTGGGAGTTGTACGAGCACCACTTTACTGGATCCTCACAGAACAGGAAGGAGAGGTATTTGCCCCGCGTTATGGATAAAGAAACTGAGGCAGAGAGAAGCGCCTGGTCCAAGGTCAAGGGTTACGGGGGGCTGAGCTGCAACCCCGATGACGTAGCTGCAGGCCTGTGCTCTGGGCCGCTACCCTCCGCTCTTAGTCAATGTTGTTGCTCTTACCTTGGAAAGACCCCAAGGGGAGGGGTCGAGAGGGGAAGACAGAGAAAGAGGAGCCGAGAGACTGCTGTCCCCTGACTTTGTCTCGCCAGAAGCGACCTGGGATTTTGCAGGTGAACTGTCGTTTAATTTTCACAGCAGCCCTAAGAGGGAGCGTGGTCGCCCTGCTGCTGATGGGCAGGCGGAGTGTCAGAGACACGGGGGGACCCAAGTGACGGGGAGCGAAGGACAGCGTCCTGTTTCCTCTCAACTCAGGCGACACGGTTTCTCAATTTCTCGGGCCCACATTCCAATAAAAAAAAAAAAATAGTGATCTGGCCCTGGCTGGTGCGGCTCAGGGGACTGAGCGCCAGCCTGTGAACCAAAGCGTCACCAGTTCGATTCCCGATCAGGGCACAGGCCTGGGGGGCAGGCCAGGTCCCCAGTAGGGGGCGCACAAGAGGCAACCACACATGGCTGTTTCTCTCCCTCTCTCCCTCCCTTCCCCTCTCTCTAAAAATAAATAAATAAAATCTTTAAAAAAAAGACAAGAGCTTGCCAAATTCTGTCTACAAAAGCAGCATGAAAAATTTTTTAAAAAATAATTCATAAAATAAGAATGTCTAACTTACCGGATTATCCTACGGACAAAATTATAGAGTGTTTGGATGAGGCCTGAACACTGGGGTCTGCCAGACAAGAATGCGTGGGCGCGATGCTTGTGACTGAGGGGTGCCTGAAGCCGAGGCGAGTGGGGGGCACGGAACCTGGAGCCGGGGGTCGCTGTCCTCGGCGGCCACTTACTAATCGCACGGTTAACACCGGGTAACGCGGTGACTCCAGGCTCCGACGGCATCTTTTAAAAGATACGGGCCAAGAACCCTGTAAGGTCTGTTGCTGCCACAAAGCCAACGATTCAAAATAAAGGAGAGCTCTCGCTCGTGCGCCACCGTTCAGCAGGTGCGGCCCCAGGCAACGCTTTTCTCAACAGTTCGGGAGACGCCCGGGGTGGCAGCGGTGACTCGGGAGGAACAATCAGAAGGTGTCGCTGCCTGGCGTCGCCTTACGTCACGGAGGAGCAGTGTTTTATTCCGACCATTTAAAAACCACTTGTGAATACAGGCGTGTCTTCTGATTCTCTCTCCAATGAACAAGGAAGGAAAAAGAAGTCCACACACCGTAGGGCGATGATCAAGAGGTTAAATTCCAGAAAACGGCTCGACCAGACAGGGCGCTGTGACCAGGCATCGGCGCGCAGGCTGGCGCCCACCCCACGGGCATTGTCCCCAAACTGACTTCACAGGTCTATTTTCTTTGTCGTGTCGCTGTGCAGGCCATTTAATAAGGGAATTAATCCCTGTAGGCATACGTACAAAACGTTAGGCTCTGGAGACCCAAGGATGGGTACGGCAGTCTCAGCTCTTAGCCTCAGATTCTCCCAGAACCAGAGACGGGGGAATAAAGAACAAACTGATAGTGGCCAGAGGGGAGGGGGGAGGGGGTACCTGGGGAAAGAAGGGGAAGGGTCAAGTCGAGGAACGTGCATAAAGGGCCCAGGGACAAGGCCAGCAGCGAGGTGGAGACTGGCTGTGGGAGGTGCGGGCAGGGGACAGCAATGGGGGAAAACAGGGACAGCTGTGACCGAGCCACAGCGAAGAATAACAAGGCTCCAGTAGGAGACTGCGGGCCTGAGAGAGGCGAGCACCCGTGGCGCTGCACTCTTCGGGGACCAGGTTCCCCGCACGGGACACGACGGTCCCCGCTGTCCTTTCCAGGCCCAAGCCCACGCAGGGGGCAGAGCGCAGTTCCGCAGGGCCGCGGCCAGCGTGCTGTGTAGAGGACCGTTGTGAACGGGGCACCCGGAAGAGGAGAGAATGAAGGGCCGGGGGCCGCGGCCGTGTCTTCAGAGGTGTAAAGCCTCCCCGGTGCTGCGGGAAGCCCCGGCGCTGAAAAGGGTGAAAATGGGCACACTTGGCTCCACTTCCGGGGAGACCGTGGGCTGGTTTGTGTTCTGGAGCAACCGGGGCCGGCTGCCGCGGGCAGACGCTTGGCGAGGGGTCGCTGAGCTCTGTTCTTAGGGTCGCTCCAGCGGAACACTGATGAGTCCAGGGCTCTGAGGGAGGCAGGGTGCCCACATCACGCGCGACGTGGGGCGAGCGAGTGGGTTCCCAACACGGGTCCTCGGGCCGGCGCACCCGCGCGTGAGTGGCAGAGCTTCCGCTGCAGCTAAACTATTGCATTTAAATGGCTGTCCTTGGAGATTCCTTTGGATTTGGGGGTAGCAGCAGTGTCTGGACTTTAACTCAAGGGGAGTCTTAAGCCTTGGCCATTTGTTGTTTAAATGACACAGTTAGAAAAACAAACGCCGCAAGGCTATGGCAACCCCTTCTGCGTCGCAGTTAAAACCTCCCTCCACTCTGAGAGCCAACAATCAAAGGAGAGCAAGAGTAACTGAAGACAGAGATCTTCCCTGCTCTACACGTCGATGGTTCTATGACTATTTTCTAAAACGACCCCAACCAGATTCGTTTGTCATTACTGAAAAGGAAGCGTAGCTATTAGACAGGCATTAAACCAAGAGGAAGAAACACGGTGGCTCCGCGGCACACGGTCCGGCGCCTGCCCCTCCTGGTATTCTGCACACCAGGGAGCGCCGGGGAGATGCTCACGAGCAAAGTAATCCTGGGACCCACGCACGCCTCGTGCTTAGGAAATTCATTTCTCAGCACATAAAGATGCCACCGAGTGGCAGTAATAGATTAAGTGCTGGATATTGGGTGTATTTGATGTTGTGGTCCCGGAGAGGGTTTCGTTAATGAGAATATTCTACAGGGTTGCTGCTAACAGACTTGGAGATTATAAAACCTTTGACATCAATGTGCGGCTGTAAGAGCTGGGACTTTACATGAGGAAACATATAATCATATGCAAATGCATACACCCTTAGAAACAGAGTCGACCATCCGTGTTCAGAGGCCCTGCAGCCGGCGCGTCCCCGCGGCCCTGGCCGGCGGAGTCGCGTAAGCCCCGCTGCTGCCTCCCGCGCGCTGTGACCGCCCCGTGGCCTTCGGCAGCGGGCCGTCCTACGGGGTGGCGAGATGCTTCTCAAAACGCCCCAAATTAGAAACATACGTGGCGTGGTATAAAGGTAACCATAATTGTCCTAACTTTGGGTTGCCATAGATGTTTTTAAGATTTTCCCAATTTATATGATAAGACAACAACGAGAGGATTATAGAATACAATAGACTACCGAGCTTTTTCTAACCGAGCTTTATGGCTAAATACGTCTTATATTGAGTATTAGGTGACTGGCAGTTTATTTGCTTGTTCACATACACTCTTTACAGTGTGTGTGTGTGTATGTGTGTGTGTGTATAACTTTTGTGTATGTAAATTCATGTGACCATGTAAAGTTGTATGTGTGCATTCAGGTGTGCGTGTGAAATGTGTGTATAAGGCACCATGTAACCAAACCATCATATTATGGAACTACCTCAATGGTCAGAAAAACAGAGTATGTGTCCATTCCCACACAGGCTTACAGTTTATCCTGCACACAAGCTATTTCCAAAGTATGAGAAAAGGGTAAAGGTGATCATATAACAAATTAAAATCTGTTTGGTTTTTTAAAAATAAATGGGTTTGAGAGCTTCTTGGCCCAGCGGCACAAAAACTCACAGTAACAGTTGCACGCGACACAGTTACTACTTACAAGCAAACTGAAGCTTTGCTTCTCTGCTAACCACTGTTCCAAAGGCGTTTGCTGCTATGCACTGGTACGTTCCCGCGTCCTGGGTTTTATTGGGGTTATTGATCAACAAGCTGCCTTCAACAACACTGTAGCGGAAATCCATACCTACGTCAACATCTGTTCCATTTAACTTCCACCTATAGTACAGAAATGCCAGGAGATAAAGCCTTGTCATATTAATCAATATCTCTGCATTGTCCACAGTATATAAAAACTAGAAAGAGCATGCAAAATCATGACTTTTTCAACCACGGTAAAAAAAGGTAGAAACACTTCCCCAGCCACGGTGGCGGCTGAATGCTTACCGAGCGCGGGCGCTTTGCAGCGAACGAGGGTATTACAGGTTCAAGACCTGTCTTTCCCTACATCAATGCTACAGACATGTTGCTGTTCTTTCTCAGCTTTGAATAGTCCGGTAGCACCTTGGGCACCTTTGTCCATACGGGCTCCTCAGGAAAAGGCCCCTCTCGGGCTGGTGGCTACTCGTTGACAGGCGTCCACAGGTGATGATGGGGAGGCGGCGGAGCGTCTGACGAACCCGCAGCTGTGCTGCTTCCCGTTGGTCCTTGCTATGGCGGAAGTGGCCGCCTGCGGAGCCCAGGGACCGCAGAGCCAGCGTGGGGACCGCACTGGCCTTCGCCGGGGCTACCGTGGTGGCCTTGGCCACGGGCACCCAGCGGTCCTGGAAGCTGCTGCCCCGGCCACGGGGACCAGAAGCCGAGGGTGTGTGTTCTCCTCTGGTTGGTCGGCTCCTCGGTGCCTCTGAGCGCTGCATGTGGCTCAAGGAATTACCTTCGGTGGGACGCGCACATTGAAACGGCGGATTTTCATGAATGGAATCTCAAAACCGCGTTTTATTGTAGCCAATAACATTCCAAAGAGAGGTTACTGTAACCAGTAAGTCATTTGAACACTTAGGACCTTTGAGCTGATACAATTCAATAACAATGTTATTCTCTCCCCTCCTCCCTCCCAAACCCTACATGGACTCTCCACCAGGGAATGAGAGAGGCACAGCTGGCGCTCCCGACAACCGCCCGCCTCACCGTAGCAGCCACCCCGGGAGACCAGAACGGGACGCAGAAGCGCAGAGCTCAGTGAGAAGGCAGAAAGCAGCGGGGCGGGGGGCGGGGAGGGCGCTCCGATGCATTCTGGGCTCCTGGGCGGCAGCGCACAGTGCAAACAGAGGACGCGCGTGAGAACACGCAGGCCAGTCCGTGTCAAGCCTTTGCGTGTTTGCTGTCAACAAAGGCAGGGGTTTAAAGAAAGACCCCTTCCACTGGGACCTCATGCACGTCAAGGTCACCTTAGAGGGCGGCTCTTGCAGAAAAGTCTCCCTCAGGATTCCTCGTCGTGTGTCGGCAGACGTCCCCTGTTCTCCCCACAGAAGCCCCCTTTCAGGAGGGGCCCTGCCTGCACCGCCGACTGCGTGCGCAGGTTCCCCCGGGGTCCCCGCTGGCGCCCCAGCCCCGGTGCGCGTGTCGGGCTCCATAAGCACTTGGGAATTGGGCTGAATACTTCACTGCTTTGCTGCATGTGATGCTTTGATCGTGCACAGCGTGGGAAGCCTGGGGCCCGCCCCAGCAGCGCAGGGCGCGTGTGTTCCCGTCCGTGTGTCTGAGATGGAAAACGCTGGAAACACGAGGGGTGGGGCAGGGGCCGGGGCCGGCCGCAGGGACCGAGGCGCGGCTCTCCGCGTGAGCGCGTGAGCAGGTGGGAGTTGGAAGTGGACGCTGTCTTTCGGCCTGACAGTAATTCTCCCTGTGTTCTGACAGCGACGAGGCAGCAATAAGCAGTAAAAAGGGAACCGCCGGGCTCGGCGGCAGCAGGTCTGCGTGCGCATGAGTCTCGGGCGCTGCTGCCTGCCTGCAACGCTTTTTTTTTTTTTCCTTCTTTTTTTGAGTCAACTGATCACGTCTCAGCCATAACTCTCACTTCAAATGATAGTTGAGCAATTTAATATGACAAATCTAAGAACCCAAAGAGGAAATTGCAGAATAATGTGAGCTGCAAGCCGAGTGCAGGATCCAGGAGCGCGGCACGGCCCGGCTCTGCCGCAGCGCGGCGTGGGGCTGCGGGGAGCGCGTGCAGCCCTGTCCACGCCCGCCGCTCCGTCCAAATGCTGGGCGCGCAGCCCCGGCGTCGCCTCCTTGCCTGCTTTCAATGCGGGGAGCGAGGGGGCGGATTGTGCAGAACGCACAGCGCTCCCGCGAGGGCAGCTGGGTTTCCGTCACAAAGCACCGCGCCTGTCCTTTCGCACTGCGGTCACCTGGGCGTGGGTTGCACCGAGCTCCTTCCTTCATTTCACGCTGAGACACTCTTGCAAATCCCACAATTTATTGTCAATGTCTGAGGACTCTCTTAAGTCCTGGTAATGCAGAGGGGTTGCCTGTTTAGAACAAAGAGGATTTTCCCAAGGGCCGGGACACATCGGTGAGCCTTGGGGAGTCAAGGGGCCATCCTCTCCGGAGATGGAGGCTGTGCACAGCCGGGCACCGGCAGGGCGGCGTTCTGGAGGGATCCAGCCTGGACCTGGCTGGGAAGCCATCTGAGGCATTTGTCGTCGCAAAACCCTCTTCCTTGTTCACTCTTTCGGCTCCACGGGGAAGGAGGCAGGGCCTTCCTGGCTTGGAGTCGGCTCTCTGCAGACCCGGCTCAGGACAGGCCCCTCAGCTGAGTGGCTCCGACCAGGCACGGGAGCCCCGCTTCTGTCTGGAAAGGGAGGCTGCGCGCCTACAAAGGTAAGGTCCCCTGTGCTCAGGGGACGTGCGTACAAGGGAAGCCGGCCCACGTCAAAACTCCTTGCAGTTTTCTAGGTCCGGGTCCATCTTTTCAAACTCGAGGGGCAGGGAGATGGAAAAGGCGGGCTCCGCGCCGAGGGGCGTCCGGGCGGCGCTCGCCTGGCGGCTCTCCTGCCGCCGTCTCCTCACCTGGAAGCCCAGCTGCGCGCTGAGGAGTTCAGCAGCACGCTCTCCGAAGGCACCGATTCTCCGCCCGGTCCCCTGCTGTCCTCCGGCTGGGAGGAGCTGTTAGTCCCAGGGACCCGTGCACTTTCCGTGACGGAGAAACTGCCGAAGGTGCAGTGGACGACAAGGTGGGGCTGCCACCAGCTGCTGGCGCATCTGATCAGAAGTTTTCTTGGGGGCTCCTTCCGGCAATCTTTAAAAACCTAACCTATTTCTGTGCCCTTGCTGGCTTTAACTACTGGAGCCGGGCCCTACACCTCCCAACCCGGTGCTACAAACGTGGCACTGATTACAGGTCGTGGCTCGGAGAGAAACAAAGCAGCAGCTCGCGGGTGCCGCTGCGAAGTGCGTGGCCCTCCGTAGCCCCACGCGACCCCGCCCCTGGCTGTGCCCCGGGGGCCGGGCCGCCCGGCGCAGCGCCCGCCTGTGGGAGCCGGCCACTCGCATTTATTTTTCACAATGTCAAGCGTTTTAAAGTGTTCGATTTGGCCTGGACGTCAACCTGTGAGGAAAAGTCACTACACGTTCCGTCGGCCCAGGACAGCGCGGGCGCACGCCTGCTGCGCTAGCAAAACCATTGACCCAGCGTGTCCCGGTCGGGACGGCCATTTATCTGTTCGCTCGGATGGGCCAGTCCCTTAGGGAGCTGTTGGGAGCCCCCCCTTTCTGGGGTGCACTTACAGCCCCCTGCCCCGTCCCCCGCACATACAGGAACACGTCAAGCCTGGCGCGGTCCTGCTACGTCGCCGCCGCTCAGCGCGGTGGCGGGAACCCCTTCCCCGGATGGTGCGCTCTGACCTGTGCCCAGTTCGCGGGTCGCTGCTGAGTCCGCGACGCCCATCCTGGGACCCACAGCTCGAAAACACAGGGTGGTCTGATGGATGATGGCATGTTTGATGAATAAATGGGGGGCAGAGACATTAGGCTGTGGAATAACTGCCACTGTGCCCTCACGCCCTCTTCTGGCTTGTGTGCGATGATGACCTTTGCCCTTTGCCCGCCTGCATCTCAGTTCAGATCCCGCTTCTGTGAATCCGATCTCTTCCTCCCTTCAACGTGGCGTATGTTATATAACTCTCTGGTTTTTACACTGTTAAAAATTGATTGTTAGCTTGAGGCTTTTATCATTAAATTTAATGATAAATAGAAGCAAACTAAGATTCACAAGATGCCTGTAAGTGATAAAGAATCACAAGACAATAAAGACCTGTGTCTAAGAAAAGGAATATCATTACTTTTGAAGTCTTCTCTTTCCATTTTGACTCCGTTCACCCCCTCACAGTGGTTTGTTATGACTGAATTTTGGCTTTTTATTCCCCTGGTTTTTGTGACGACTTTGTCACGTGCCCTAGTATCCTGAGGCTCCGTCTGAACTGCTTTTGAACTTTGTAAATATGCAGTTACAGTCTGTTCTTCTGAGACTTGCTTTGTATACTCAAAAGCGTGTCCCTGAGATGCCCCGCGGAGCAGCGGCGGCTCCTTCACTTCTGCCAGACCAGCTGGCCTGAGCTCACCGGGGCCCGTTTATGCGATCGCTTCCTTGCAGTGCTTTGGCCTGTCAACCTGGTAGGTTTGAACAGGCGGGCCGTTTTACTCTTATTTGTATATTCCTGCTCACCAATGACACTGATAATCTTTTTGTACATTTAATGGATATTTGATATTCCTTTTCTTAGAAGTGCCTAATGAAGTCTTTTGGTAATGTTCTATTGGGTTACTTGTTTTTCTTTAGATTTGTGGGAATTCTTTAAACTCTTTGGATATTTATCCTTTGCCAGTGATAGTATTAAATAAATCTTCTCCCAGTTGGAAGCGTGTAATTTTATTCATCTCAGTAAATTCTGTCAAACAAGTTCTTAATATTAATGAAGTTAAATATATTCTGTCATATTTGAGAAATCTTTTCTTCCCTTCAAAGTCATAAATATGTATGTCTGTTTTCTTTTGAAAGTATTGTCATTTCTCATGTAGGTCTCTAGTCACTGGTATATGCCGTGAGGTAGGGGTCCAACTTTATTTTTTTTAAACCATATGGATACTTCATTGTGCAGTGTATCTCTTTCCAATTTATTTCTATTACATCCGTGACTTTTGATTTTTTTATGGCTTTGCAATATAGCACTGCCTTATTATTTTTATTGTTTAGTGCAATGACATTTTATGTGGGAGTCCGAACCTTAACCACTTGCTTTCCTCCTCATTTTTTTCCTGTATCTGGGGCCATCTTTATTCTGCTTACACGGTATGCTTTTAAGAACGGTCTTCAGGGAGGGTCTGCTCGAGTCCACCTTCAGAGCCTGCTCAAAATCTCGTTTATTTTTTTTTCTCCAACAGCATCTCTGCCATCAAGAGATCTGACAGTTTGTTTCTCTCCGCGTAGTGAGGATGGTGTTTGCTACTTCGCTTTTGTGTTGCAGCTGCTCAGGCGGCTGCTGCTTTCACTGTCCCCTCTCCAACGGTTGCCTGGGCCAAGACGTCGGCTGTTTCTACGATCCCATCTTCAGGTTGGTGTCTACTGTTTTGCTACTATCGTTCTAAATGAGGGTTCATTTTTATTGGCATTGCTTGAGATTCAGCTCACTGGGCCTCCTAAGTTTGCAGCCTGGGACCTTCCGTCAGCTTAGGAAAATCCCGAGCCTTCCCTGTATCTGTCGCCGCTCCCTGTCCCCGACCCTTCCCTTGTGGGACGCCGAGGAACGTGTGAGCGTTTTCTCTCCTCCCTCTCCGTCTCTCTCACGCACACACGCATTTTGGCATCTCTTTGCTCCTTCCCACTGCCTGTGGATGATTTCTTCTTCCGATGCATCTTGCAGGTCGCCTCTCGCCTCTCAGGTGCAGCTTCTCTGCTATTAAAGCCGCCTGGCACGCGGCAAGTGCGAGGAATAGGCAAGGGCTTTTGCTGGCCAGCCCCTTGCAGGAGGGAAGCCAGCGCCATCCTTGCTACAGTTCAGGTGAGGGCGGAGCCCTTGGGAGCGAGTCTGGGGTGGGAACGATCCTCCGGTTGACTCCTGTCCTGGCTGAGCTGAGACTCTGTGACCCGTTTGTCCTGGGAAGCCACCCAATCCGAGGTTAAGCTCACGCAGTTCCTCAAGGTGCAGACAGCTCTGCATGGCCCAGCTTCCTTCTCTGCGTCCCAAACCCACTTCTTTTGTGACTGCTGTTTTTCACTTTCCTGCCAGTTCATCGATGCATTTTCATAGGGTGATTTTTAAGCAATACCTTGCTGAGGAACAGTAAGGCTTTCCTCAACAGGGTCAACCAGGCCATTTACGTCCCAGTGCCACCCGACGCAGCAGGTGGGCGTCTGTCACGGGCACAGACGCCTCTCCCGTGTCTCGGGATATGGCCTGGGCGCCGGTCTGGAAGCCCCTCTGCCATCAGTGCCCCGTGAGCGTGTGCTGAGTTTGGTAGCAGAAACCATGCGTGCGGAGACCCGCGCTCATGCGCCAACTCACCGGATGTGCGGTTTGGGGTTCCCTCTCACTTGACAACTGAGCTTCACTTTTTTCTCCTCGGAATCCAGAGGGAACATCACATCACTTGGTTCTTGAACAAAAATCGGGCCGTGCAGCGTGTAGTCATCTGAAACGAGAAGAGAAAAGGGGCCAAGGGAAGCACATCGTCCCAATAGGAAAGAAAACAACAACAGAAAAATGCAAACGATACACCGACAGAGAACGGCAGCACGGAAGGGGTTCAGCTGCAGCCGGGGACAGGGTTTCCCCCAGAAGACCGGCGGCGGGTGGGCTTCCGTGGGCCCCCAGGGCGACCCCGACTCTCCCGCATCACAGCGAGAACTTATTCCGAGCAACGGTGTCCAGACGCAGGAAGCAAGCCATGGCGATTTCGTAAGTACATTAAGCAACAAGAAACAGCTCGGTACGGGTAGAATATGTACGAACCTTTCTTAAAGTTGGCTACGAAGGTAAATAAAGAACAGCACAGAGCTGTGAGTCTTGAATTATCTGCGGTGCACGACCAGTTTGTGCGTGTTTTGCAGCCTGTCATGAGCCCACACGGGGGGATGCTGGCATCACGCCATGGGAACCGTGTGACTCAGCAGACACACTCGGGAACGCCCACGCAGCCGCTTGCCGGGCCAGCGATGCTCTGCTGTGGAACGCAAGGTCCTAAACGCCTTCTCTCAGTAGGAGACACTGGCCGCGGGGGGCATATGTGGTCAGGGACTCACCAGAGATGAGGACAATCCCCGGCCGCACGGGAAGCAGCGGGTGGTACGCGGGTCTGGCCGGAACGCGTCTCCCCACCTCAGCCCCGGGAGGGATTTTCATGCTTCACAATCAGGCGCAAGTTCCTTTTCTCCCCAAGAAGGCTCTTCTAGACCTTCACCGTCTTCCTCCAGTCACATGGTTCTTAAACTGCATGCCCCTGTGGGCACTTACCTTTTTCCAAGCTAAAACGCAGGCGTGCTCCTTTCTCCTCCTTTGGACTCCAAGCTCCCTGGGAGCGTGGCTGCCTGGGCACCTGTCTGGAGCCCCTAACGCCTCGGCGCCCCGCAGGGGTATGCTGAGCTTGGGAACAGAAACCGCGCGTGCGGAGAGGCGCATGCACGAGCCGGCGGCTGGATGCGTGGTCCTGGGCATCTCCGCCTTGTGCCGCTGAGCCAGCGGCTTGTCCCTGGAAGGCAGGGAACAGAATCTGTGCTCCTGGAGCACCCTTCCTTCATTGTTAGTCTGCTCCGTCGTGGGCTTGGGCATTTCCCCGTGACATGTGAGACCGCAGAGCCGGTGGCCATGAGGTAAAGTAATACTGAACATCGCCCTGGAGCCAACGATTCTTCTTCCTCTCCAACGGGACCATTGTGAAGGGTGCGCATCGCAGCGGCTGCACCGGAGACCCTCCTGCCAGCCTGCGGTCGACAGGTGATAGGATGCGACTGGACTCTTCTAGGGGGACCGGGCGGAGGAAAGAGAAGGAAGCCATACTGGGGTCTCAGTGGGGTGCCCTGGGGCGGTGTCCTTCCAGGCTGTTAACCCAGGCTTTAAAACAAATCCTCACGTTGAGGCTGGGACAGAAGACAAAATAAGGAGCCGAGACAACCATATAGAGCTCTGTTTCATCACAGAGGAGCGGGGGTGCCGCGGCCCGGCTGCGGGAACAAGGGCGCGGGCTCCGAACGGCCAGGAACCAAGGGTCGGTGCCCGGGGTCACCCATGGCCTCCGTGACCCACGGCGGTCACCTTGTCTTCCTGCCCTGATGGCCTCACTTCTAAAACGGCAAGATTCACGGCGGTGCCACACCAGGGAAGCACGGGAAGGGGCAGTGAGTGTGTCCCTACACACGCATGTGTGCGTGATATTTGCGCTCAGAGATGCCACGGGCTCTGCATGCCCCTCTGCCGCCATGGGTGACGCTCACGGGAAAGAGGGACTAAGACAAAGAGAATGGGGGTCACTGAAGAACTCAAAATCAGGGCATGGGATAAAAGTTCACAAACGTATACTTTTTTTTTTTTTTTTTTGTTAACACTCATGCTTTGAGGCCAGGTATTTCAAAACCCGGAGAGTTACGTGTCAGATTTTCAATGATCACACAGATATTTTTAAAACAAATTTAGATCGTGGGTCAAGGGTTAATGCAGTTTAACTGAAGAATTAGGTGAGGTTCTAGCCTCACTAGTTGAGTAACAAGGGCTACTCAGCAAGATCAATACACGGCAGTAAGTTTGGGGGTTGTTCTCTAAGAGAGGAATATCTGTATTGTTGCTCCAATTCCAAAATTATGTGTGTGGACATATATCAATCATCTCGATTCACTGGTGTTCCCTGATTTGAATTTCACACAGAAATAAACAGCCTATTACGAGTAATCCCAAATAAGAATAAAACATAACGATTATCCAGAACGCAGCTGAGCTGCTCTGGCCTAACATCTGTACTATTTCTCAATGTATCCATGCCATATTTAAATAACAAAAAGGGTATTTTTTCTGTGTATTTTGTAACAAGAATTGATAATAACGATGCTTTGCATCTGCTATAAATCACGCATTCCATCTAGAACTTGGATTTGCTCTCGGTGAACCCGCTCCCCGCCTGGAAATGAACATCGGCGCCCAGAGAACAGCATGGCGCTTCCCACCGAGGCCACTGTGGCCCGGCAAGCCTGAGCGCCCCCGCCTGCCACCCAGATGGGAGCGGGGCTACGGAAAGTTCAGCTGCCCAGCTGCAGAAAACAGACACCCTGACTTTAGAGCCTTTGTACCAGGGTCACCCCTATTTCTGAGAAAAGAGTTGAAGGGCATCTTTCTCTCCCCGACACTGCAGATGCTGCGGGAAGGCGGGAGAGGGGTGACCCTCGGCGCGCTCCGTCCGAGGGCGTGGGGGAGACTCTGCGTGCACCACCTCCAAAGCCCGGACGATCAAGTCCCCCCTTTCCTTTGTCTCAGTGCATTCGGGGTAATGGGATGACCGGCTGTGATGTCGGCCTAGGCAGGTGCCTCAGCAAATGACAGGGGACAAGAACGCTCTCCGGCAGGATGTCTCACAGGCCACCGCTCCGCAATCACGTCACGCTGTTTCTTTAAACCCCAGCCCAGACGGGCGGCACCAAACCACGCTGGCCTGCGCCCCTGCCTTTCCGCCCGGCTCTCGGGGTGATGGCTCTGCGCACTGAGCCCCAGGTCCGCTTGCCTGCACCCCCGTCCCCAGCTCTCCGTTCGCTCAGAGCAGAGCGTCCGCCCCGGGCGTCAGACCCACGCCTGGGCTCGCTGCGGGCAGAGTCTAATCAGCGACGCCGCGTGCCACCAAGAGGAAAACGCAGGCACGCTTAGACGGACCACGGGAGGCCAGCCGGAGCCGGAACGCTGGCCCGCACAGAGGACGTGGCTGGGCGTGGGGGGTCTGTAAGGGGAGGACCGAGCACTCCCGCACCGGGGACATGCGCAGGTGAGCCCCAGGGCCAGGCGGCGCGGACAGGGCCCCCTGTGCCCTAGAAGAGGCCCCGCGTCCGGTCCAGGGCCGCAGGGACAGCGTTTCTTCGCCAGATGCACCCACGTTCCTGCCGCAGCCGCGGCCCCGGCCGCGGCCCCGGCCCCGTCCCCGGCCTCGTACGGGTGAGCGACAGGACGCGGGGCTGACGTCTGTGCAGGGCTCGTGGGCTCCCGCAGCGGAAGAAGCCCCCCGGTCTCCACCGCCCCGGGCAGCGAGGGGACCGGGCTCAGGCTGTGGACAGGGGTCTTGGGGACCTGTGGGCACGGAGTTCCCGCCCTTCCGGGGTTCTCCAGGCTGATGGTTAAGGAGAAGGGGCGGCAGCCAGGCGCCCCGGCCCACGTGCAGACCACTGGCCTGAGCCCTGCAGGGGGTTCCGTGCAGGTCCCGGGCACCCCGGCCCCTGGCTGCTCCCCGCCCTGGCGGCGGCCTGCCCATCGGTCACCGGGCTACCTCTGCCACAGGCCCGCGTCCCTGCGCGCTCGGCGGGAGGCACGGGGACTCTCCCGGAATGGCGCCTGAGCAGACTCGCTTGCGGAAGCAGCAGGGAGGGCCTGCACTGAGGGACCTGGGCCGGGGCGTGTGAGTCACACCCAGGTCACACGTGGAGGACAGGGAGGCCGCTGCCTCTGCGGGCCCAGCGGGGCCCTCACACTAGCCGAAGGGGCTCTGCCGCGCACCCTGTATGTCTTACTCTGCGTCCGTAGAGCCCTTGACCAATCCAGAGAGAACGTGCTCTGTCGTGTGTGTGCATGTGCGCGTGTGCGTGGGTGTGTGCGACCCATGCAAACGTGCTGCCCCACTGGGTGCAGAGCGGGCCGCGCGCCGGGACGTGGGAGGGGCCGTCCTCCCCTCAGCTCCCAGGGTCTGGCCCACGCCTGCTCCCTCCCCTCACGCGCATGTCCCTGGGGCAGGCCCACGCGCGGACATCGCCCGTCCTGCCCCTGAGACGCTCCGAGGAGGACACAGAGGGCCCGCGGCGTCCAGCTGGCTGTGGGCCTTCTCCCCCGCCTTCCTAATGACCCTGGAAACGCGTTTTGGCTAAAAACTGCAGGGTCAGCAGCCTCTCCGTGGCTCCGCACGCCTCTCAGAAGGTATGGGCAATAACCTACGGAAATCGAGAAGCAAGCGGCGCTGCAGCACGGATTCTCCTCAGCGTGGGGATTCCTTGAAAATTGGATGATGGTGGTGGAAACAATGTCCTGACAGCCGTCAGTCTGTCGCTGCAAAAACGATTTAGTGGCGCTGGACTCCATGAAACAAAGGGCAGGGGCGTCCAGAGGCCCCGCGCAAGCGCCCGCGTGTGAAACCCGCCAGCGCACCACAGTTCTATTGAATTCCATTTGGTTCTGTTTGGTTGTTCACTTGAACGGAGCTGAAGCAAAACGAAAATTAGAGGAGACAGACATGCTGCCTCCAGAATAAGAGTTTCCTTCCCCGGGCTCGCTTCTGCCTCCCTTCTTTTTAACCCTCAGGTGAGCGTATTATGCAAGCAACAGGCCTGCGGGCAGCCGGTCTCCCTTTCTGTCTGCGAACAGGAGTCCACACAAGTAGTGAACCCTCTGCCTTCTCGGTCTTTGTTCTCTTGTGGACGAAGCAACGCTGCCGCCATCACAGGCTGTGTCGCAGGA